AATTCTTAGATGACATGTTGCTTCAATGCTTCCAGTGTAGATCCACTGTTGTGGACAAAAAGACTGAATAAAGTAGCAGATGTACTTCATGGTTTCATTACAAGGGGGTGATAGAGTCCCTCCTGATCACTGCTTTGATGTTTGTTTCCTGTCTGGTCATTGATGATTTGTCAGGATTCAGAGGAGGAGGATCCTTACATGGATTCAGCCTTCACCCGTTCCAACGACCCAGGCCTCGGGTCTCTGGAGCTCCAAAACTTCAAGCCTTACATCCCCGAGGATTTTGCCAACTTTGAGGTGTACAACGCCAGCCTTGAGACCCAAGAGGGGGCTATGTGTGTGCAGGGAGAGATGGCACCCGGGATCGGGGTGTTAACAGGGACACGGGCTGTGGAAAAAGAAGTGTCCCGTAGTCCCACAGCCAGCACATGCACAAGTGGCTACTTCTCTCATAGTGCCTCGAACGCCACGCTGTCCGACGTGCTCTTCAGCGGCAGCGATAGTTGCGACCAGCTCAACATTAAAGAACCTCCAGACCCTCAGGAAGCATCGCACGGAAGAGGGTTGCATCCTTCCAGAAGTGCCTCGGGATCCTGTCCAGCCCAGACCATTCCTGCTCAGCCTTGTTCCCGTCACTGCACCGACCTGGACTGTTCCCCTCGGCTTCCCCGCAAGTGTATCCTGAGCGTCAGTCAAGAATTCACAGACTTTAAGGGTGCAAATGATGATGTAGGGGAAGAAGACCATGGTAAAATTGGATGGAAGGCAGAATCGATTCCCACTGACTTCAAGGGTGTAGATGATGGCGTAGGAGAAGAAGACCTTGGTAACATCAAATGGAAGGGGGAATCGATGTCTCCAGACCTTAAGGGTGTAGATCATGGCGTAAAAGACGACCTTGGTAACATTAAATGGAAGGCGGAATCGATTCCTCCAAACTTTAAGGGTGGAGATGATAGTGTAGGAGAAGAAGATCTCAGTAACATCAGATGGAAAGCGGAATCCATTCCACCAGACTTAAAGGGTGTAGGTCATGGCATAAGAGAAGATCTTGGTAGCATTGGATGGAAGGCAGACTCGATTCCCCAAGCCAAAACCCAAGGCATGGATCCCCCACCCCAGTTCCATCTCCACAATGGGAAAGAGTCTCCCAGTATCCCATTACCTCATGCCAAGCCACAGCTGGAAGCAACTCAAGGACTTGAGTCTTTGGCAGACTCTAGTAAGGACGAGAACGGACCAGTTGCTCAGTTGCCGGACTGGATGGCCCCCGGTGAGCAAGTTTGGGTGGGCAAACGGAGTGGGACGGTGCATTACGTTGGAGGGGTAGAGTTTGCCAAAGGCATCTGGGTTGGAGTAGAGCTGGACCTTGCTGTAGGTAAGTGAACTCTTCCCTTTCTTGCTCTTTGTTGCTGAATCCCAACTCAACTCCTTGTAACCTTAGACCTTTCTTGTCCTTCCAAAGGCAAGCACAACGGTACGGTCCAAGGAAGGGTGTACTTCCGATGTGCCACAGGTCATGGCGTCTTCGTGAAGCCATCATGTTTGACTCGAGGGCCTCCGTCCATAGACACCGAACCTCAACCTGTAGGAGCAGGACAGTGACCCAATAGTTGGTAGATGATCTCTTCGACACCAGCACCAGCCTGGACAAACCAAGTGCTAACAGAATCCATGCTTCTGATTCGTTAGAGATATGTTGGTTCCCCTGATTCCATGGCAATAACCCCTACCTGTGTGTCTTGTTGAAATTATAGGCCTATTTCAGTATCATCTTTGAATGTCGAGAGTTGCACAGTTGCACAAACTTGTTTTATATATCATGTACAGCTGTAATACTAACATCCTTCTTGGTTACTTGGTTACCACTTCTTATATGACTAAATGTATTAATCGAACATTGCCTAACACTACTTTGAGTGAGTTTGAGATTTGGATGCGTGTTCTAGGTAAGAATGTACTACTGTTTATGACCTTTTTGTTTGCGTGATTATATCAGGTATTACCAAAAACATTGCCTTTCAAATCTGCTGTGCAAACTTCTTACGTAGATTACTTTGGCAATGTGTTTCATGCTTGTGTTTTATGTATATGTGTTCGACTGATTTATGCTAAGTGCCATATTTCTGGTTGAAAGGCCACATGCCCATCAGGACTTCAAAATTGTGGTCAGTTTTTTTTAGATTTAATAGTATTTTGATTGGACGGCAATCCAGTTGCTCGTACTCTGTTGCGTTACTGGTTTGTTGAGTACTGTAACTGTTGAAGGACTGCCAATATTTCTATTAACAGAGCTGTCTGAATGCTTGCACTGGAGTAACTTATCCTGGATGCACATTAAGTTATGTAATGCACAGACTTTTACACATTCTCAGATACTGATTCGATGCTTCTCAGGAGGTTGACGGAAGTGAGATCACCTAATGCGGAGAGCACTATGTTTTCTTTATCAGACCATTACCGGTAGGGAGCATTATTGCAAAACGCAGATAACCCGGTCTGCTTCGTATCGGCTATATACCCTAAAGTACTGACACAAGCCCTGTTCATGAACAGGGTCTTTTTAGATAGTCGACTTCTAGGTTCACCTGCCTAATAATGAAGCTTCCGAGCATTTAAATCCATGTGTGTTTGACTGTTGAGTAAGATTTTATTAGTTTGTGATACTAAAGCCAATATTAATGTTTTTTATAGGTATAAATGGGAGATGAGCAATATCGGGGAAATTGGGACATAGCCTGAATAATGCTAGTATGTTTAGTGCCATGACCAGTGCTGTTATTATTGCTGTTTTACCTGAAGAACTGTGGATCTCATAAGAAGTGAATACTATTGCTGTCAATGGAGATGGTAAAATGAAAACCCAAGACCTTACTATAGGTATAAATGGGAGATGAGCAATATCGGGGAAATTGGGACATAGCCTGAATAATGCTAGTATGTTTAGTGCCATGACCAGTGCTGTTATTATTGCTGTTTTACCTGAAGAACTGTGGATCTCATAAGAAGTGAATACTATTGCTGTCAATGGAGACAGTAAAATGAAAACCCAAGACCTTGCGTAAAAGAAAACAGCTGCTCTCCTCGACAAGGAGCTGTACATAAAATGTATGAACATAGTATTTACAATATTATAAAATGTACAGAATTGTATTTATATTGCATCTCTGCAGATGTTGGTACAAAGATGTTGTAGAATACAGAACGTTTACAAACACTTTTGTGTGCGTGTTCTTCTTTTGCATGACATTATTGGTGGTTTTTCAGTTGATTTGAGAGGTTTGCTCCTAAAATTTTGAGCGAACTATTCATTTATCATGGTATGGAAAATATAATAATAGCACTAAAACATAAACAATGTCTCTGCCTTTGTTGCTTAACTTTTTATACTTTTTATGTTAGATTTTACACTGATAATGTCGAACCACAATGTAGTTTGACTAGAAAAAAATTTACATTAACTTTGCACAACCGCATTCAAACCACAAGTATTCAGATTTTGACAAATGCAAGGCAACCAAAACATTTTTAAAGCAAAAAGGTGTGCATTTTGACTAGAGCATGTTGTGCTGACTGTTATGTTTGACTGGCTGATTTGATCTCTTCCCAAACAGTAAGTTGTCAAACTTGAGTCTGACCTTTGACCTACATTATCATGTTGAGATACTGGGTCACTAGGTCATTGTGCTGGATTGAGGCAGTGAACATCTGCAATAGAAACTCAGAATACTCTCAAGAACGCCCTTGGAACACATCTGAAATCATAAAATAAATGTATGCATTTCCAAATGCACTTATCTAAAGGAACTCCCACTGTATTCAGGGAATTAAACCCATGGCCCAGAGTTAAACATGGTAAAGATTATTACAATTTTTTAGCACTGAGCACACTGGCATTCTTTATAATGTCTCATTTTGTGTTGCACAGAAAAAATTAACAGCGTAAATGTTTGGAACAACATTTATTTATTTATTTATTTTTAGTGAACTGTTCCTTTAAAAAATTGCCTTCAAATCAGAGGGACAAAGAATTAAGTCCTAGCTATTATCACACCCCCAACAAAAATCCAAACATATTCCGGCATTTAAATGACAAAATTAATCATTAGTCACATGACAGTGAGTAAGCATTACATGTAGTCAACCATTGAGGGAAAGGGACAGATTTCTAGTGTGGGCGTGGTTAGACTGGGCAGTGGGCGTGTCGTGTGATATTGTGGGCGTGGTCTGTCCGCGTGTGAGTGTGAGCCACCAAAACTGTATGGCATGTTGTTGAGTTCTGTAGCCCGACAGACGCGCTCGTTTGCTGCGGTTTATTCTACCTCATATCAAATCTTCCGCGCTCTGTTACTGCTGCCTTCCAGGAATACGAGCTGTTCTTGATTTAAGCAGTCGTGGTGAAATTTTGACCCTGTTTGAGTCGTCGTGAGGATGCACAGCTCTCAGAAGGACACCACATACACCAAGGTCTTCGTCGGAGGTCTTCCGTATCACACCACCGACTCCAGCCTCGCGAAATACTTTGAGGTGTTTGGAGAAATCGAGGAAGCTGTTGTCATTACTGACAGACAAACGGGGAAATCCAGAGGCTATGGATTTGTAAGCT